TTCAAACTGGAAGGACCTTTTGGCACAGCACATGTTGCAGATCCCAGCGAGGACCTGCATGTCGAAACCCGACTCTTCGGCCCTGGTCCGGAGCAGACTTAAATCGATATGATCGTAGAAGCTACTCATATCATACAGCACAGCCGAAGTATGAATCTTCTGGTTAGACATGCTAGCCGACTCGGCCCTGAAATTCTGCACGAGAACGAGCTCAGGAATGGATACTCCTTTCTGTTGACACAAACAGCGAAGCCGATGCGAGCGCCCCCAGGAACGAGCCACATTCTGACGAAGCCTGCCATAGACTCGATAAAGAGACACACGCAAACCGATTCCACGAAACTTGACCGCACCTGGCTTGTGCTCGGGAATGAGACAGGTTATAACCGCCTGCAAAACAGAAGGTGACTGCCAGCGCTGCTCGATGCATCTACGGAGCCTGGCAATAACCCCCAACTGCCGGCCTGGGCACATCAGGTAAAGTCGAGGGTGGAACCCGTCATGCGTCTGGGGCGTCTTGGAACTGAAGCTGAACAAACTTTCCTCAATGCTTGCGGAGTGGCGAGAGGGACAGGCTTCCAATCTTTAGGATCAACTTGCCACGGGGCAGAAGGGGATGCATCCCCTTTTCCAGAGAAGCTCCAGCCCATCCGCCTCCGCCCTGAGGACGCTGGCAGGCTGCCCAGACCACTGGCCCGAGCGCTGCTGCACCTCCCCAGGCTTCCACACCTCCGTCCATTTGGCCCACTTGTGCATCCAGGAGACAGAGCTACCTTGGCTTCGAACCCATTCCTTCCAGGATTTGATGGAGCCGAGGGTGCCCCTAGAGCTTTCAGCCTTCAGAGCAATGTCAAGATCCTTCAAGAAATCTCGCAGAATAGCCTCTGCAACGTACACATTCAGAGACTGCTGGTCGAGGTCTTGCCGAAGAGCCGCAGACAGCATTTTGGCCCTGTCCAAATAACAAATGAGCGAGGGGACCGAAATGTACTCAGAAGGACACGCTTCCAAATTTCCAAGATGCATCCGAAGGTCAGCCTCACGTTTCAAGCTACAGGACACGTTCAGGGCCCACTTCACCATCCAACGCAACGGCACCAGGTAGGCCTTCCAAGCCAACTTGAGATTCTTACAACGCAGAGCGAGTGGGGCGCTCACAATCCTAGCACTGCGGGCCCTCTGAGAGACTGTCTTCAAAGGAGTGCCCGTCATTCTGCTGATGGTTCGCTCGGGTTCCATGGCGACACTCGAATGCACAGCATCAAGGGCGGCCTGTCGAGCTTCAAAGCTGGACCTGCTGGGCGATCTGCCAGAGCCCTCCAAGACCCCACAAACTTCTTCCAGCTTAGATACTTGATTCTCCAAAACTTCCCAGGGCAAATTCTCCAGGGAAGGCCCGAAAGGTTCACATGCGGGATCTTCTGGCACTTGCACAAAACAGGGATAGAGCAGTTGACATCGGACCAGACGCGCAACGTCACAGGGCAGCGCGGAGAGACAGGGCACGACGATAAACACAGACGTGGAGGCGACAACGCTGGCAAGCACATGGGAGAGCACAAAGAAATCGACTGTGGCATGTGACTTCTTCTAGATACAAGTGGGCTTCGAAGGGGCGACAGCCTCCATGCCTGCCCGAATCAGGAACTCAGATGTTTCAAGCCTCCTTGCCTTCATATCAGTCTCCTGCAAGCATGACAGGTAGCTGAACCTTCTCCTGGAGAGTTGCGATGTCTTGCAAGAGCTCAAAGTTAGTTGCGCTCAAGCCAACACTCGTCTGCATGCACAGGGAGGCGAGACATAACTTGGGGAGCCCAAGGTCATCAACCTTCAGGGCGCAGATGCGGCGCTGCATCGAAAAATTCACTGGGGCGGGACTAGCTCCAAGATCCTGCCCAGCCCTTACAAGGAATTGCGACGCCTCCTGAAGCCACCCCAGATTCAAGTACTGCAGCCATAGAGAAGAAACCCAGCCAGCCACGAGCAGAACACCATTCCTTGGCAGACTGGATGGCCTCTTTGTCCTTTAACAAAGTCTCCTGCAGGAGAAGAACCGAAGCCTCGGGGAATTGAAAATTACCAGACACATGGTCGCAGTTCGCCTTTAAAGGTAGCAAACGAACTTGTATTCAGGGCTGTTATTTGAAGGGCCCACCCTTGGCCCGAAGTTTGTCAAATCTCGACCTCATCAGGACCTGCCACCCCCCCTTCTGGAAGCTGGGGCGGCTGCTGGCGGGGCGGGGCAGCGACGGCGGCCGGGGGCCTGCCCGTCCCCTCCCTTCCTCTGCCCTGGGGCCCTGCAGCCGATGAAGCCGCGGCGCCCGAAGACTTCAGACTGCACTCCGGAGCTTTGCTGGGCACCCTTTTCTTGATAGCCTTACCAGACTTGGTCTTCACGAGGGACCTCACCTGATCGTGAATCTCAGGGCACTCTTGGCGAAGGGCTGCCATTTGCTCCTGGAGACTGCTGAGATCTTCTCCTAGGCGCTTCTCACCTCGAACTTCCATTTCTTCATCAGATACATCAAACGGTTCCTCCTCTTCTGATGCGAGCTGTTCGTGTCCCATACCCCGCTGCTTCTCCTCAGAGGGCCCCTTGTTCAGGTTCTTCTGAGCGATCTTATTTTGCAGTCCTACCAAGGGCTTCTGCAAAGCTCCCTCAAGCTTACTGGCGTGTCCTCCAAGTTCTAACTGGTCCTTCATTTGTGCCAACATGCCTTCCATAGCCGAGAAAACGTCTTCCAACTGCTTCTTGCCCTCAGACGAGAGACAGGCATATTCTTTGGACAAGGCTCCTTTCAGGCCCAGGATCCAGCGGAACACACTTTCGGATTCTGGCTCAGGAGGCTCATTCGAAGAGGACTCTGGACGCAGGCAAGCAAGCTGGGCGCTGAGACACACCAACTGGGCTTTCGAATCACGAATCTGCGCCGTCGCCTCTTCATACTTCATGGCCATGCTCGCTGCCTGAGATTCCAATTATGCAAGAGTCTCCGTGGCAGCGGTGATGAGGGACTTCTGATGCTGAATCTGGGCCGAGAGGCTCTGGGCCTTCTGCACAGGGGACCGATTCTGAAACACCTTTTCCTTAGCAGCCTTGACTGCTTCATGGGCCGAAACCAACCTAGGATCAGTTGGCTCCACTCCCCAACCCTTGTAGAACTTGACAAGGTGCTGCGCCATCAAGAGATCTTGAGAAGAAGGATCTGCATTCTGGTGAGGCACCGAAGGGATCGCATCCTTATGCCAAGGGGGCTTCTGACCTCCTGCAACATCGACTCCTCCAGACAAACCTCCTCTTCCGTCAGGCCCTTGCCCCTTGCCCTTCCCTTTCCCTTTGCCGCTGGGCCCAGGCGTGGGAGGCTCCACACCTGGCTGCTTCGTGCAACTCGAGTTAGGGCAACACACGAAGGAGATAGATTTCTTCTTCCAAGACATTGCGCACTGGAGAGCGGAACGAGAAACCACTGGGTCGCGCTGGCGACCTGCACGAGAAAAGCGTCCACGACAGCACGAGGGCTCGTCGTGGAGATTGTGAAAGACAATAGCCTGCTGTGGGGCAGCTCGCCTCGAGCCAGCCCCTCGGCTGCAGGCAAGTACGAAGCCGCAGGGCCACGGTTTCGTACTTGAGCCAAAACGGCTACGGGCACCAACAGGGCGAAGAGATGCGCAGAGGCAAGAGGGGTCTCCCTGGTGGTGTGGTCTCCCCCTCTCGCTCGAGACATCCCCAGTCTCCCGCTGGGGGAGGCATTGTGGACCTCCTCGCCGGAGGTGGGCCCCCTGGTGGTGTTGGTATCGCTTCTCCTCCCTCCGACTTAGCTGCCCCGATACGCAACACGCAACTCGCAGCTCGGGGGCGCGAAAACACGGATCAGCGACTCATGGATTCGGCGCGCGGTCGCCAAAGCCACGGATCGGGGGAGGTGCCCTCCCCAAAATGCTGCTGGTGCCGCCTCATTCGGCGGCGGAAGTCCGCGATTTCCCATGGAAACGGGACCCGTCGCTAATCCACGCCCCCTTGATCCATGTTTGCGATCGACTGAGCAGCGCATAGATACGGAGCTCCACGCGTGCACCGAAAACGCGGGTCCGACGCGATACGCTCGCCGACACGTCGGCCAGCACGCTGAGCCAACACGCGACGAACTGACACGGACGCTCTGAGCACGGCACGTGTTGCGTCTCATAACTGGCGCAACGAGGCAGCTAAAATGCCGAAGTTCCACCCCTTCGACCAGAAGCTCGCCATCGCTCGGACGTCCACTCCCTGTGCATTTGTCGGTTTCGTGCGCGTTTTTTTGTCCCAAGGTGAGCAAAATGCTCCTCGATGGTCCTCGCCGAGAAAAAATGCACACACGTTCGAGCGGTGCCAAGGAAGCCTTCGGGGGAAGAGAGGTCCACGATTTGCTGGCCGGCGGTGGGCTGCGCCCCCCGAAAGGCCGCCGTGCGCCGTGCCCGCGAGCGCCGTCGCAGCGTGCCTCGCGGCCGGACTGCCCCGCGACCTGCAGCTGCAACGACGACTGGCGGGGCGCCGAAGGGGGGTAGGGTGAAGTCGGGCGTGTCCCCCTGCAGGGGGATTTTGGGCGAAAAATGAACAATGCTCAAAAAAAAAAACAGAAAAAAGGCCCAAAAATAGTCAAGCATCGTCCCCTGACTATTTTTACTATTTTTGAATAGTCCCCCTGTGGAAGGACACGCTCGACTTCAGGCTAGGGGGAGGGGGGGAAGGCTTCTCAGAGGGAGGCTGCTTCCTGGAAGGCGCCGGCCCCCCTGCCCTCACCTCCTCGAAGGAGCGGGGGGTGCTTCCGGGAGGCCTGCCCCCCTCCCCTCCGAAACTGAAGGGGCCCCAGGACACACAAATAAATACACACAAGTAAAATGATCTCCCATATTTGCCCATATTTTCTGGGCTTTTGTCTTCCCCCCCACTTCCCATAGTTTCCCACATTGTCTGGGGAATCGACGATTCATTGTGTCTGTGTGTTTTTTCCCCTCCTGAGAAACGCCCCCCTCTGCGCGCGGCCGAGACGAGGAGGCCCGTGGCAGTCACGCCTCGCGCGCCACGAAGCTCGCCTCCAGCTCGTCGCCGTCGCGCAGCAGGCTCGCGTCCTCGTCGTCGGCCACCTCGAGCGCGTCCGAGGCCCTCACCAGGGCCACCAGGCGCCGCGGCCCCATCTCCCTGCCTGGGGGGGTGCGACACGGAGGCTCCTCCTCCTCTTCCTCCTCCTCCTCCTCCTCCTCCTCCTCCTCCTCCTCCTCCTCCTCCTCCTCCTCCTCCTCCTCCTCCTCCTCCTCCGCCTCCTCCTCCGCCTCCGCCTCCGCCTCCGCCTCCGCCTCCTCGGCAACGTCCCAAAGACCCCCCTCCTCGCCACGAGCAAGACAGGACGGAGCGCTGCTTTGCTGTTCTTGGCTTCCGGGGGCCCTGGACCGGCCTCTGGACCGTCCACAGGCGACCGAGGATGATGAAGAACCGATGGGCGATTTGGGGTTCGATGTATCCCCCCTTGAGCCTACCCCCCACCTAACGTTGCCCCTGAGACAGGGGGGGCGGGGCCCTGACATCCTCACGCCGTGGAAAGATCTCGACGGCGTTGCTTTCGTCTGGTGTTCTGCCCCTGGGCGCCCGACACCGGGCCCCGGGGCCGTCCAAAGGCGACTCGGGATGACGCAGCGCCAGTCCCATGGGAAGGGGCCCAGATCTCTGGGGAGCCACGCTGTGACCAAGTCGCGACGTCGGATGTCGGGGGGACTGGCTTACAGGGGGAGGGTGGGGGGGAACTCGGAAAACGAGGGCCGACCGCGACAGCGGCGGCCCTCCCTGGAGCTGTTCTCGTTCTCTCTCTCTCTCTCTCTCTCTCTCTCTCTCTCTCTCTATATATATATATATATATATATATATATATATATATCAGGGGCCTCCCATTGAGGCTTCTCGTCGCCACGGCGCCACGGCTGGGGATTCGCCTCTCCAAACGATCCTGGATACTCGGGCCGGGCGAAAGAGGGGGATAGCAAAGGGGGGGGGGTGAGAATCAAATCACGCTGCTGATTCTCCCGGCGCCTCCCGGCGCCGGGAGGCGCCGAGTGGGCCCGGCGGCGGGGCCGAGACGAGCTGCACGCAGCAGATGTCGTACCCCCCCTCCTCCTCCTTCCCCTCCTCCTCCTCCTCCTCCTCCTCCTCCTCCTCCTCCTCCTCCTCCTCCTCCTCCTCCTCCTCCTCCTCCTCCTCCTCCTCCTCCTTGGATCTGCCCCAATTGCCCTTTCCCTATACCCCCCCTGTCGTCCGACCCGAGACGTGGACCGCGGGAAGGGGCCCCGGGGGCCCGTCCTGCGCGGAGCGGGGCCGGGCTGAGGAGGGAGACGCGGCTGTCTCGGCTGGCCCTCCTCCCGCGGGGAGGCGGGGCCAAGGGAGGAGGAGGAGGAGGAGGAGGAGGAGGAGGAGGAGGAGGAGGAGGAAGAGGAGGAGGAGGAGGAGGAGGAGGGGGGGGGAACATCGAGGTGGCAGCGGCGATGCATCGCCGATAGAGATCGGCGATGGGCCTCCGCTGCCGGATCCCCACGTTCGTTACTGGGCGGGGCGTGCCATCGGGCCACTGTATCGGCGATCGGTAGGCGATCTGGGGTTCGAGGTATCCCCCCTTGAGCCTGTATCCCCCCGGAACGTTTCCCCTGAGACAGGGGGGAGCGGGGTCCTGACATCCTCGCGTCGTGAAACAAATCCCGACAGAGCTGTTTTTGTCAAAGTCCCAAACCAGGCCCAGGGACGGTCTAAAAACAAGTCAGGATGAGAAGCCAGTCCCGGGGAAGGGGTCCGGATCACTGGGGAGATACTTACTTTGTGAAAAGACGAAATCGAATGTCTGGCGTTCTTCGTTCTTTTTCGGGGGGCCTCCTGGAGGCTTCTCGTCGCCAGGGCCGGACCCGCCTCGAAAAACAAGTCAAGATGGACCCTGGGAGGGGTCGGGGTCTGGGGACCGATTTAGATCGAATCTGGGCATGGCGAGAGAGACGCCGTTGTCCTAGGAGGAGAGAGCACTGTCTTGGAATCTGCGACACATCGCCGATCGATCGACGATGGGCCCTCGCAAGGGAAACCGCACGTTTCTAGGCGAGGTGGGAGACGTGCGATCCCAGATCCGCAATCCGCGGAAAAAACCTAAACACAAACTGTCGGAGATCCGCGCCGATTTGTGTGTCCTCTGCGCTGGGCAACCGCTGGTGGAGCCTCCGGCGCCGCCCCTGGCGCGCTCCGAGCGTCCCGGGCCAGGACGGGGGGCCCGGCGCCGACCCAGGGAATCCCACCGAAAGCCTGCGCGGGAGCGTCCGAGAGGGGGGGCGCCCAAGACGAGGGGTCGTAAAAATTCGTGCACCGAGGCGCGAGCGCGGCCCAGGGGGTCCCGAGTGGCCCATCGAAACCGCTCGTGCCGATGCCCTGCTCCCCTTCGAGGCCCCCCGCCGTCGGGGCCGCGGGCGCGGCCGAACTTGCGGCACACGGCGCCCTCCACGTCCGCGAAGGCCGGGCGGGCGCCCGCCCACGCCACGGCCACCTGCCTGCGGCGGGGGGGGTACCACTGGAGGCCTCCTGAGTGGGGTCTGGGCAGATGGGATGGGAGGATCGCGCCGCATCGCCAAGACATTGCCGACGCGTCGGCGATGCATCAGCGATGCATCGGCACGTCGGCGATGCATCGGCAACGTCGACGTGAAGCCAATCGGGCTGCACATCGAGCCGCATCGCCGAGGCATCGGCGATGCGGCGCGATCCTCCGACCCCATCTACTCCAAGAGGCCTGGAACCACGCACTGGCCCGGGCCATCCTAGGCCGGGCTGTTCACCCTCAGTCGTTTTTGTTTTCCGACCGTCAAGCCGACACACAACTGGCTCCACAACGTAAAACTGAAAACCGCTTGGCCGGCCACGAACGTCACGCGAGACGTCGCCGAGAGCGCCGACACCGCTGGAGGAGGGAGAAGAAGCGGGGAAGACAGCGGACGGCGGAGGACTGCGGAAGCAATGCTGAGCCGCATGTTGACGGACCCGGATCACGGCAAGGGACGCCAGAGGCCGAAAACTGCCACAGAGAGACCGTGCGCCGTGCCTGCTGCCCCGACGCGAGGAGGTGGGGGTACTCCAGATTTCGTAATAAAAGGGAGGGGGGTCTCATTTCGGGGGGGGTCTCTTCCAGGCTATCTTGGAGGGCCTGGGGGGGTCTGGGGACGGTGTTTTGGAGGGTTCTCCCACGGGGGGGTCTAAATGGCTTGTCTGGGAGGGTTGAGACCCCCTCCCTTTTATTACGAAATCTGGGGTACATTCCCTCCTGGCCGAGGCCAGGAGGGACCTGGATGGCCCTGTCCAGCCCACGGTGCCTCGCGGCGCGCGAGGCGCGAAGCTGGGTGGCCCCAGAGGAGGCCCTCCGCCTCCTCCTCGCTCCTCGCTCCTCACCTTCCTCCTCGCTCCTCCTCCTCCTCCTCGCTCCTCCTTCTCCTCCTCCTCCACCTCCTCCTCCTCCTCCTCCTCGCTCCTCCTCGCTCCTCCTCGCTCCTCCTCCTCCTCCTCCTCCTCCTCCTCCTCCCCCTCCTCCTCCTCCTCCTCCTCCTCCTCCTCCTCCTCCTCTCCTCCTCCTCCTCCTCCTCCTCCTCCTCCCCTCCTCCTCTCCTCCTCCTCCTCCTCCTCCTCCTCCTCCTCCTCCTCCTCCCTCCTCCTCCTCGCTCCTCCTCCTCGCTCCTCCTCCTCCTCCTCCTGCTCCTCCTCCGCCTCCTGCTCCTCCTCCTCCTCCTCGCTCCTCCTCGCTCCTCCTCCTCGCTCCTCGCTCCTCGCTCCTCCTCCTCCTCCTCCTCCTCCTCCTCCTCTTCTTCTTATTATTATTATTATTCTTATTCGTCTTCTTATTATTATTATTCTTCTTATTATTATTATTCTTATTAGTCGTATTATTCTTCTTCTTTTTCGTATTCTTCGTCATATTATTATTATTAGTAGTAGTAGTATTATTCTTATTGTTATTATTATTATTCTTATTATTATTAGGCTTGGGATGAGTCTTCTGATTATTCTTATTATTATTCGTATTAGTATTGTTACTTTTCTTCTTCTTCTGATTGTTATTCTTCTTCTTATTATTAGTCTTACTATTAGTATTATTAGTATTATTCTTATTCTTATACTTCTTCTTCTGCTTGTTATTATTCTTATTATTATTATTATTCTGCGTCTTATTATTATTCTTATTATTATTCTTATTGTTATTATTATTATTCGTCTTATTCTTGTTATTCTTCTTATTATTCTTATTCGTATTATTGTTATTCTTATTGTTCTTATTCGTATTATTCTTCTTATTATTCTTCTTCTTCTTCTTATTATTATTATTATTATTATTCTTCGTAGTCTTCTTATTATTATTCTTATTCAGATTCTTCTTATTATTGTTATTAGTATTATTATTCTGCTTAGTACTATTATTCTTCGTCTTCGTCGTCTTAGTCTCATTATTCTTCTTGTTAGTCTTATTCTTATTCTTCGTATTATTATTGTTCTTCTTATTATTATTATTAGAAATTCGTCTTATTATTCTTCTTTTTCTTCTTCTGAATATTCTTATTCTTCTTCTTCTTCTTCTTCTTCTTCCTCCTCCTCCTCCTCCTCCTCCTCCTCCTCCTCCTCTCCTCCTGCTCCTCCTCCTCCTCTCCTCCTCCTCCTCCTCCTCCTCCTCCCTCCTCTCCTCCTCCTCCTCCTCCTCCTCCTCCTCCTCCTCCTCCTCCTCCTCCTCCCTCCTCCTCCTCCTCCTCCTCCTCCTCCTCCTCCTCCTCCCTCCTCCTCCTCCTCCTCGCTCCGCCTCCTCGCCTCCTCCATCCTCCTCCTCCTCCTCCTCCTCCTCTCCTCCTCACTCCTCCTCCTCCTCCATCCTCCTCCTCCTCCTCCTCCTCCTCCTCCTCCTCCTCCTCCTCCTCCTCCTCCCTCCTCCTCCTCCTCCTCCTCACCTCCTCCTCCCTCCTCCTCCCTCCCTCCTCCTCCGAAGTCCTCCTCCACCTCCTCCTCCTCCTCCTCCTCCTTCCTCCTCCCTCCTCCTCCTCCTCCCCTCCTCCTCCCTCCTCCTCCTCCTCCTCCTCCTCCTCTCCTCCTTCCACCTCCTCCTCCTCCTCCTCCTCCTCCTCCTCCTCTCGCTCCTCCTCCTCCTCCTCCTCGCTCCTCCTCCTCCTCCTCACTCCTCCTCCTCCTCCTCCTCCTCCTCCTCCTTCCCTCTCCTCCTCCTCCTCCTCCTCCTCCTCCTCCTCCTCCTCCTCCTCCCCCTCCTCCTCCTCCTCTCCTACCTCCTCCTCCTCCTCCTCCTCCTCCTCCTCCTCCTCCTCCTCCTCCTCCTCTCCCCTCCTCCTCTCCCTCCCTCCTCCTTCCTCCTCCTCTCCTCCTCCTCCTCCTCCCTTCCTCCTCCTCCTCCTCCTCCTCCTCCTCCTCCACAATTACTTTATATGAATATTACTCTCCCTCTTTCCCCGATGACGGTTTGAAACTACTAGCACACAGAATTCCTCGGAATTGCGTTTTCGCCTGCATTTGTTCCCAAAATGCTGCTCTCGCTGAGGCGCCGGCCTCATTTTCGGGCCCCGCTCGTTCCGAATCGTGCTCCCGCTGCAGCGCTGGCCTCATTTCCGTGTTTCCGCTCGTTCCGAATCGTGCTCCCGCTGCATTCGCTTCGCTTCGCTCTGTGGGAACGCCAGTCAATGCCTGAAGCGCCCCAAACAACACCGCGGGCCGCCACCGCGCGGGCCCGCTCACACCTTGGAGGTGGGTGGAGAACCCTCCCCGGTCACGACTCCCAGAGGGGGAGGCCCCAGCCGGGGAAGCTGAGGGGGGCCCACAGGAGACCTGCGCAACCAGGGAGGGCAAGAAGAGAGGCACGGCAGAGCCGGTCCCCCGGACAAGACTCCCAGGCGAGGGACCCCCGGCCGGGAAGGCTGGGTTGCTCGTCAGGAGACCTGCTCATCCAGGGGAAGGGGCGGAATGCAGTTCCCCCGGGGCCCCGGTGCACCGCCAGACACCGAGGCACCCCTCCGGGGGCACACTCCCGCTACAGCGCTGGCCTCATTTCCGCGCTTCCGCTCGTTCCGACTCGTGCTCCCGCTGCAGCGCTGGCGTCATTTCCCGTGCCATGCCACGGCATGCAATGCAATGCTAGGTTGATACTACGCTTTGCGGTGCTCTTCTACGCCATGTCATGCCGTGCTCTACAATGCATCGCGTACCCTTCGGGGATCATTGCCCTGCTCGACATCCGACTGTGCGAGTAGAGAGGGGATATACGCCGTGGTAAGGGATGGGAGGGAGGGGTAGGATGTCAGATATGACGCGAGCGCACAAGCTTGTCCTCCTCCTCCTCATCCTCCTCCTCCTCCTCCTCCTCCTCCTCCTCCTCCTCGCTCCTCGCTCCTCGCTCCTCGCTCCTCGCTCCTCGCTCCTCCTCGCTCCTCGCTCCTCCTCCTCGCTCCTCGCTCCTCGTTCCTCGCTCCTCGCTCCTCGCTCCTCGCTCCTCGCTCCTCCTCGCCCCTCCTCCTCCTCCTCCTCCTCCTCCTCCTCTCCTCCTCCTCCTCTCCTCCTGCCTCCTCCTCCGTCCTCCTCCTCCTCCTCCTCCTCCTCGCTCCCTCGCGTCCTCGCTCCCGCTCCTCGCTCCTCGCTCCTCGCTCCCCCCTCCTCCTCGCTCCTCGCTCCTCGCTCCTCGCTTCCTCGCTCCTCGTCCTCGCCCTCGCTCCTCGCTCCTCGCTCCTCGCTCCTCGCTCCTCGCTTCCTCGCTCCTCGCCTTCTTTCGCTCCTCGCTCCTCGCTCATGAATCCTGACTCCTCCTTCCTCCTCCTCCTCCTCCTCTCCTCCTCCTCCTCCTCCTCGTCCTCCTCCTCCTCCTCCCTCCTCCTCCTCGCTCCTCGCGTTCTCGCTCCTCGCTCCTCGCTCCTGGCTCCGGCCTCCTCCTCCTCCTCCTCCTCCTCCTCCTCCTCCTCCTCCTCCCTCCTCGCCTCTCCTCCTCCTCCTTCCTCTCCTCCTCGCTCCCTGGTCCTCGCTCCTCGCTCCTCGCTCCTCGCTCCTCGCTCCTCGCTCCTCGCTCCTCGCTCCTCCTCCTCGTTCCTCGCTCCTCGCTCCTCCTCCTCGCTCCTCGCTCCTCGCTCCTTCCTCCTCCTCCTCGCTCCTCGCTCCTCGCTCCTCGCTCCTCGCTCCTCGCTCCTCGCTCCTCTGTGGCAGCAGCAGGGGCAGTAAATGCTTTTCCCTTGAGCCAAATCGGATAACAGTGACAAGAAACTTCACACAACTCTAAATGCAAAACCTACTGTGCGAAATATGCTCACCTGTCTCATGGGTGAGACTTTCTCGTAGGTTTTGTAGCCCTGGACGCCGGGCTAATCACAGCCCTGCGTCCGGCAGTTGACTGCTGTGACAACTGCTACCCCGGGAGGAAAACAAGAAAAGCGCCAGACTATTGGAAGACAGAAACGGATAGAGCGCACGCAGAGGAAGGAGGAGGAACGGAAGGACGGGAGGAACCACCACCACCACCATCCTGGACCAGGG